CCTGGCAGTCATGTGTCTATTGGATAAGATGTTCTGGGTTGCTATTTGAATGAAAATCTAATTCACCTTCCCAAGAAAATATGATTTTCCACTAAATCAGCCTGCCGAACTTCCTCAATCTTGGGTTTCATAATCACTTGGTCTAGTGCAAGGAAGGGGGAAGGAACATGAAGGCAGGACTGAGAGAAGGGTAGCACCAGTCCTTCATGGCAGCCTGCAGTCATACCAGATTAGGCAAAATGTGAAACCTGTAGGATGCAATGCTGTGGCTGCCTAAGCTGATCTATGTGCAGGCTGCAGGATCTTTGCTATCCCCCTCTTCTGTGTGAATGCATGTTCCCCGTCTCCTTCCTTATGATGGCCCTGGTACTCCAATTCCTTCCTGAGATGACTAAGGGAAGTGAGAAATAATTTTTGGTGAGTTAAATTTTCGTGTGGATCAGTTGGGTCATTGGGATCAGCTTCCTGACCCTGTGAATCCGTGAGTGCCAGTGCCAAGACAGCCTAGATTTGTGTTAGTTTAAGATACCATGGAAATACAGCCATCTGCTTAGGCTGAGAAGAAGGTGGGTAGCACTCACAATTTGTGAGGATTAGAAATGAATAATTAGAATGAACTTCAAGATTCTCTCTAATCAAAGATCTACTTGATGATAGCTATTAACTGCATCCTGCGTAATAGCATTTTCATATGGCTTAGCATTTTCTTTTGGTTTTTAAATTCTATTGTTAGCAGAAAGCTCAATCACTTTATTAAAGAATGAGATTCCTTTCAAAACATTCATGCTGTCCTACAGATTGAGCAGAGATTAAATCCCTGCTTTTGAAAGGATGTAATATTTTATTCAGTTGATTTTGGTTTTGTAAAGTCATTCATGTAATTTCTCTTTGTATTTGAAAGGTCTTCTCAGTAGGTATGTGTTACAGCATTGTGATAGTGAAATATTTCTTTTCCAACTCCATGCTAATAGGCTGCAGCAGTGGGAGGTGAGAATAGCTCTTTAACTGTTTTGATAGAGATGAAATACCAGGCTGAAATTTATCCCATATGTCATGTTACAAATGTGAGTTATAGTTTGATAATTTCATTTTAGAGGATATTTTATTCATTTAGGGAGTTTCATTTTATAAAATCAGATTCCTTTGCAAATCTAGCTGTGGATGGGAGCCTTAGGTACTTCAGTTTACACTACTTTATCACAGACACGGCAGTAAATCCTTCACTGCTAACTATGTAATTATGAGATACATTGAGCTGCACAGTGGCAGTGCTCGCAAGCAGTTCAGTCACTTGTATATGCTGTACTCAGAAAAATTTTAATTGTGAAACCAAAATTGAAGATTTCAGTTGGAGGAATTAATAAGTTATGTGGACAATCCTATAGCTACAGAAAGATCATAGACACTAAAGAATCATCACCAGCAAAAGCAGATATTTGGGAGGTAAAACTGTGGCATTACAAAAATAATAGATGTGAGAATAGATGTTTTGTCCAGGAGCCTATCTTGAGGAGTACTGTGTTTATTTTCTTTTCTGTGCGTTGTTCTGTGTAAGAAATTGGAAATTTTGAAGCTAGTTTACCCAAAGAAACCTAATGGGTGACCTAATGTGTGACACTGCCAGAATTCTAGGATTCATGTTATAAAATCTGTCATAAGTATATCTAACCAGTTAGGTGCTAATCATGGACAGTATCCCGATAAGTCAGGCACGTAGGAAAGAGATGAAGGAGAAAGATGATGAAAGGGCCTTCTGAAGTCAGGTACTGTACTCTTTTGCTGAGTGAAAAGTCTCTAGTGTACTCTTTCCATAGTTTTGTGTTGCTCAACAATGTATTTTATTTGAGCTTACTCCCCTAAGTGAAGTCTCTGGTAATCTCTGATATGAAGACACTGTTACAGGAAAAGGTATTAGTTACCTCTGAGAAAAATTGAGTGGAGCTTTGAAAAGGTACTTAAGGGGTTGTAAAATGATATGGTGGCTTCAGGTAGCTGATGTTGGCTGTAAGGACTGCCTTTCAAAGTGTCCTGTTGTGACAAGGAGATTTGGGGAGGGGGCAGGTTAAAGTCAGTGGGTTGATAGTGAAGCTTCCTCACACAAAGTCACACTAAATTAAGAGGCAAATCAAATACACATATTCAGAGTTATTATGGAATAAGTAATGCACTTAAAATTCACACTTACGTTCTATATATTAACTTTGTAGTGTATTCAGTTGCTCATTGTATTGTGTTGGACCTGCATCTAGTGCTACCTGAAATACATTCTACCACGCTGAGTTCGCAATGGCTACCTAGAGGTGGACTGTGGTTTTTACTGGTCCTCTGGTTACTCTCCAGGACTGAGATTAGAGTAGGTTGGGATTTCAAACTCCTGTTGTAAATGGCGTCCAAAAATTAGAGGATACAGTCCATTTTGACCTATAAATGCGTTGCTTTTCAGCCTCTTAAATGAATGGATGAAAGTGGCAGTGACACAAACCTTAGTGGAGTAGTAGTATGATGTCTCATAACAGCATTTGACTTCATAACAGCGTTTCACATGCCTTCTTACAATTTGCTTACACAGCCCCCCACCTTGAACTTTCTGCTTAATAAGCCCAGTCAGCATGGTTTTGTTTGCTCAGAAGTGCAAGGCACAGTTTTCTTATGAAAATTCACTTTATAGGAGAGAAGCAATTATTTAAAATTATTTTATACTTTTCAGAGTGTTAATTCCCACGTGTGCTCATATAAGTAGCACATATTATTTTTATAACTTTTTTATTAGTGCAGAATTTATGCCTAAGGTTATATTGTAAATTGTTGTAAATCTAAGAAGTACCTAAAACAAATATAAATACAACAGTGTGTACTTTTGTATGGCCCTAAGTTGCATGCTTCAGTGCTGTGTGAATGTGTGTGTGCGTGTATCTGCAGGATTTCTATGCCTTCAAAAAGTTGGACCAAGAAAGTATTTTACAAGTTGCAAATGAATCCTTATATCTAACTCAATTGATTTATTTTGTTGGGAGTTTTAATAAATATATTTCTGTCTGCTCAGCTGTTTTTAGTGCATCCAAAACCACTATTTCAAAGAATAACACTGACAGATGCTGCAGTTTCATGTGGAGTCAAAAAATTCAGTACATGGTACAAAACGTCATGTTCAGTATCTGTCGTTTTGTCTTGAATGAAGAATAGGGGCATGATTTTTAAGTCTGTACTTTGAATTCAGTAAGCTTTTTGTGTGCTTAAATATTTGCTGGACTGAAGCATACAACTTCCTATCCATGTGTATGTTTTTAAATATCCATAAATCCTTTCTGGATTAGATAGTAAGATGTTTCAAAATCAGAATATTTCCAACCCCTTTCAGTTATCAGCTGTATGTAATCAATGCTGCTTTACTTGGTATTTTGTTTAAACTTCTTATGTGTTCAGAATGAAATGTGCTATGTCTGTGGTCTTGTCAACTGCCAGTTTTCTCTAACAGTGTTGGAGAACTGGGTTTTAATCCTTGCATTCATTTCTTTGAATGCTTACTTGTTTGCTTAGCTTAAAGTATGGAGTATTCACATTTTTAAAAATACGGATATGAGTAAATGTTTGTACTGTCGCAGCAAAAAACAATGAAATGTTTTAGCTTTCATGATATAACAGCAGGTGAACGTATCAGTCTAAGGAGGTAGGTGAATTAAGTCTTCAAATAAAAGTCCTACAAAAATGAATGTACATGCACCTTTTTCACCATTTTCACTGAATTTTCATGATTTTTCTTTCAACATCAACTCTCATTACTCACTTTGCCAGCCTGTCTGCAAAAACAGCAAACAAGCTAATTCTGAAAGCCAAAAGGTATTTTCTGCTTTAAGCATAAGCACCAGGGCGGGTGAGATTCAACAGCAGGACTCTTGATGGCCCAGGAGCCAAAATGATTCTCTCTCCCACAACTACAAAGGCTCTAAGATACTATCATGTATCAAAAAGTATTAAAATCTTAATGCACTGTCTTTGCTCTCTGCTTTGAGCAGATCACCTGTGTCTGTATCCCACTTCTTATTTGTATCAGATACAAAGTGTTAGTTTTCAAATCGGAAGTTTTAGTGTTTGTCCCCTCCCTAATCAGCACTGCTCATTCACAATCAAGGTGAGATTGCTGCTTCTCAGCAGCACCCATTGCTATCGTATACATTTTTGAAGACGCCTGGGAGGTGTTCCTAGAAATCGTGACTCAACTACTTCACCATCCCTCCTCAAGCTTTCCTGAAAACTAAGGTTTTCTGCAGGGGCTCCAAAGCTTGGCAGCAGTTATGAGGTGGTTGGCTGAGGCTCCTGGCTGTTAAGTGTGTGAATTAGTCTCGTTGTTCCCCAGCTTCGCTCCCCTGGTTCCTCTGTATTTATGGTGATATTTTTAATCTCTTGTCTTGTACTTAGATCATAAACTTTTTGTTACTGAGACGTATTTTATGTTTTTATACTACATACTGATCTAACAGCTTAGATGTCTGGGTGTTGCTATAAAGCATATCTGAATAGCTATTTAAATATACTTGAGAAGACCTTGAATTCGAACTTCCTATTTTTATGTAGTTACTACTTTTCAGAGAAGAGTCATATTCAAAGTTGCTTTCAGACTGGTAAGGAAAACTGGAGGACAGTTTAACTCTTTCCTGTAGCAAGGCAAATAGTTCGCTATAATGTGTTTAACAGCACTTTGTATGGTAAACTTCCTAGCAGCAGCAACCAAAGAAAGATTATACTGGATTTACAGTGCCAGTACTTTAATTATGTTCATTGTGAGTGTATGTCTGGTACGTCTCCTGGCTCCCAATACTTGTGATTTTTGATGCTCTGATTTTTTAAAAATACAAAACATGACCTGAGCTTCTCAGTGTGTATTCTCTTAATCTGTGCTATATTTGAAAGAATGGATTCTGCAAAGCCTGTTACAGTTTGTATATATGTATAATCTATGGAATTTAAAATTCCTGAGTCTTCTATATCTCCTTTTTTTTCAGATTAATCGTGCCCCAAGCTTTGGAACTGATCAAAAAATAGACCATGATGTAAAAAAAGGTGTTCTGCTAAATGCATTAAAGCTTCTCAACATACGGTAAACTAGTTCTCTAATCATCACTCTGGTGTTTTTTCTGTTGGCTTAGATGCGGGGGGAGGGTTTTGTATGTGAATTGGACTAGTGGAAAACGGAGACCTTATTTCCACTTCCATATTTTCAGAACGGTAATGTTCTCCTTGTTGTCAGTTTTGCTATTTAAATGGACCTAAAATTAATTTTACTACTTGTTCACGTGCATACCAAAAATGAAGTGGCAAAAGTCATTTTCATACTTGTTTTAATGACTTTTCAAACAGATCTCAAAGTAGGGATATGATTGATGGCATGGGTGTGCGGCCACACAGGAAATTTACTTTGGCAATAGTAGCACACACAATCAAAAGCCATAGCTGTTTAAAGGAAAACAGGGAATTGGGATATGTTGGAGAAAATCCCCACTTCAATAAAATAGATGCAGTCATATTTGTACATTAAAGTATAGTACAGAGCGGTTATAGTACTTATAGTACAGATAGAAGTAAAAATATTGCGGCCATAAAAGTCAATATTAATAGATTTTCTTAATGAGTGTTTGAATTTTAATTTGTATATCATAAACCACATACATGACTGAAAAATACAGATGGTTTCCTTGAAGCGAAAGAATGTCTCAGTTGTGTTACAAGTGACAGTTTAACATGCTTGATAATACAATAAATATTAAGTTCTGAAAATTGACTCCTGAACTCCTACTGGTGCGGTGCTATCAAAACCTGCTCTCCATGGAGTTCTGTGGAAACAAATGTGCTAAATATATTTTGCAATATGTTTAATTTTAAAAGGTCTTAAACTGCAACATATTGCACGGTATGTAAAAGCTTTTTTGTAACTCTAGTTAAAGAATACTTCTCTTTCGATTGTGTTATCTCTTAATATCATCTGTGTTTCAGGACAAGTGATAAAAGGAGAAACTTAGCCCAACAGAAAGCTGAAGCTCAAAAAAGGCTGTATGGCCAAGGCTCTATGAAAAGACTGTTGCCAGGTTCTTCAGACTGGGAAAAACAGCGCCACACACTGGAAAGGAGAAAAGAAGAACTGGTATAAAGGAAACTTAACTGTCCTGTGCTGTTTCTTTCTTGCATGTGGTTTCTGCTCTCTTAGTTTTAATTATCTTATTTTCTTGATTTCTAGAAAGAAAGACTTGCACAAGTGCGTAAACAGATTTCCAAAGAAGAGCATGAAAATAGACACATGGGGAACTACAGGTAATTGTATTTCACTGTAGTAGTATGAAGTACCGAGGGCTTTCATTAGGAATAATGGAAGCAAGTATTTGTGGGTAGATGGTAATTTTCTACTGGAAATATGTAGGCATTTATAGTAAATATAAATGCCAGGTAGTACCAGGCTTTACCAGGTAGTAAAGCTTTTTTTTTTCAGGTAATTTTTTCTGATTCAAAATTTCTGCACATACTTAGGAACCATTGTGGCATCAGTCACTCTAGTATTTGTGCAACACATCTGCTTGAAATACATGATTTTTCATGTTCAAAGTGCCCAGAATCGTGACTGTCATTATGTACTGGTCCTATATTCAGTTTTGATGTTTCTTATCCATAGGGGACAAATCTGAGATGGGAATATTCTTGCATTCACTTACAGAAGATGAAAAATCAGCTCTGAATGTTAAGTTTAATGTTGACTAAAAGTTCAGAAACTTTTTCGTGTCCTCCATCACTTTTGAAAGAGTGACATTTGAAATACCTTATTCGTATTTGTGCACTTTTGTTGTGGATCTTAATAGGCTTAAAACTAAGCGTCTCCAGATTCTGTGGTAAAATACATTCAGAAGGAAGCTTTAGTTCATTGATTATAATTGGGGTGGGCCAGAACACAGGAGTTTTGTTTTATGATGTTTTTCTGATTATTTTTATTTTTCTTGACATTTGCTTCAATGAGAAGTGAAAGCAAGGTCTATGAACATTTGGTGAAGCAGAGGGGAACAGCTGGGAAGAGCTGATGGAAACATTAGCCCAATCATTATAGCATTCATCTAGGACATTGGAGGTCTGAGCTCACATCCTTTACTCTGAGATAGTCAGAATGCCTTTACTGCTGTTCTTCATCTCTGCTTTTTTGAACAGATGTTCTGTACTTCCCAATAAAGTTCTCAATAAGCATTTCATTAAAACAGATATATGTTTCTGAGAAAAAAATCATTTTTCATGAGTTAACATTTTGCTTACAAAAATCGTTTCTTTGTAACATTCCCAGTTTTAATTACATCCTTTCTTGACATATGTGGAGCTGAAGGAGTACATCAAAAACAACACAATGAAGCAAATGTTTTCATATTACTTAGACTAGAAGAAAGAGAAATGTCACGATGTTTTAATACACTTTGGTTTTTTAATTACAATGCAGTCTAACTTTTTTCTGATTTCATTTGAAGTTGCTAATTCTGTTCTGGGTTGAAAATGAGCCAAAGTTTTTTTTATTTAGCTTTTTGGTAAATATAAATCAAGAAAAATACAGAACATTTTTCTCAGGAAAAAATGTGAAATATTGTTTCATGACAAAAGTGCACATGTAAAAGGGAAGAATAGTTTTGTGTTTTCTTGTGACCACGTGTGTGCAAAAAGGCGGAAGTATCAGCATGGCCTGAGAAGTCAAGAAATCTTAGCTAGAGATACAGAGAAATGTTATCTAAACGTTATGCAGTATTTTCTCCTCACGATGTCCTCCTGCAGAGCAGGACTGGCATCTCTCAGGTATTGTCAAAGAATCATGGAAGTATTGGGCATTAGTATTGCTGCATAGGTTAATATTGCTTTCTGAATAAAAATCCTGAGAAAATTTTACGTCCACACAAATTTTGAGTACTAATCCTGTCAACAGGTTCTTTCCATCAACCTCAGTAGGTTTTGATTTAGACGTTATGTCTATGGATATCAGTTCAGCAAGTAGCTTAGCCAAGCGTCTGTCTTAAGGCACAACCAGCCCATTGACTTCTATAGGAGATGCTTGAGTGTTTGAAGTAGGAACCATGCTTTTAAGCTTTTGTGAATTTACGAGGAACTGAAAATAATGTATATGACTTTGCAATGGCCTTTAGCTGCAGTGTATTTTACATATTTTAAAGATGGGATATTCATTTTGGTACAATTATTCTATGCCTCTTTTCTAGCAGTACAATTAGCACCATTATAAAGTGCTAGTGCAACTCAATTAGAGCTGGTATAGACAGTCTATGCAAATTAGAGTCATCTTTAGTTTTCTGTAGAATTGCCCATAGTCTAATGGGAGCACATCCATCTTTTCTCTCTTGCACCATGAAAGAAGTTTTTTGAGAAGGAAAACAGTGAAAAGGAAGAATGGGAGAGAACCTTGTTAATGTTCAGAAAAAGTTCACCAAAACATACAAGCCACGTAATACCAGTCAATATATAAATGGTTCCTAGGCCTTGCACGGTGCAGGCAGAATTAACTTGTGGGTTCCTCCTTATAATAAGTAAGGAGTAATTCCTTCCACCTTCAACATTTTTGGCTGTGCTTTAAGCATTCATAACAATGAATTGAAGTGCTTTTCTTCAAAGCCTATTGTTGCTTGATGAGCATGAATAAATCACTGAAGTCCTGTCTTTTAGATTGTCATAATCTCCTTACCTGCATTTTTAGAGAATAATGGCATAGCTGCCGTAATGGAAAATCAGAGTCACCCTGTACATCCATGAGCCAGATAAAAATTTTGTTTTAGTGACTCTTTCCTCCTGTCCATTATGTTGGAAGATTTAGCATTCAAGTGCAGTACATAGTCAATCTTTAATTTACGTCATGCCCATTAAATCAAATCAACTGTTCAGATTTTTGTGTCCTTTTATTACTAAAACAAACTGTTTTATGCCACTGAATTCTAAGTATAGTGTTTTGTTAATATTTCATGCATCACTCAAATCTGCTGTTGAAATTTCAGAGAGTATTACAAAATTGAGTTTTAATATTTCTCTAGGATAAGCTGCATTTTAGGTTTTTTGGACCAGGCAATTGCTGATTTAAGTACGTGTGTGTTCACTGAGTTAAAATTGGATTAGAGAGCGTTATTCAGAGTGTGTGTTTTATAATGATTACAGATAGGATAAATATGCATCATGGAAAAGTCTGTGATGTGTCATGGAAAACTGAATTAACTGCATTACTTTCGTGTTCCCAGTGAGATAAGTAGCTCAGCTTCTATGTTTTACTTAACCTCAATTTCATTTTTTTCCAATTGTAGGCGAATTTACCCACCTGATGATAAGACTTTACTTGAAAAGTATGAGAGTTTGTTAGCCACTGCTTTCCAGACATTCCTTGCTGGGAGAGCAGCTTCACTTCAGCGGGAAATGAATAACCCTTTAAAAAGAATGAAGGTACTGAAGTGCGGAAGTATTGGCTTTGGAGTTACTTATCTTAGAATTGTAGTATGATCTTGTGGATTAGTTTCACCATAATCATGTATGATGGCTAATAAATAGTACTGGATAATATTTCATCATTTAATTATTACTCTTTGTGCAGCTTCTGGGCCAGATTTTGAATCTGGTTGAACTACAGTGAATCCAGGGTGGAGATAGGCTAGAGGCCTTTAAGCTTCTTTTCCATTTCCCTGCTCCACAGCTTTATCCCTAGCCAAACCAAAGGTTTTCAGAAACTACTTATGACCTGGTAATTGTCTCCTCCTTCCCCCAGTAATGTCCTCCAGTTTATTTATCCACTTGTATGGTTTGGAATAACAGAGGTCATACAATTATCTTCACTAGTTTAAGGCGTCTGAAAACTCTACTACTTGATGGCATACTTACATAGTCAAATATAAACAGTAGGAAAACCAGCTATATTTAAAATAACCAACTAATGTGATTTACTTTGAAATTTGAGAAATTCTTTACCATCTTTCTAGTTAACCATCATCCAGCAGTTTTAGAGGAATCTTTGGCCCTTTGCTCAGACCTTTACCTTTAGTAAATCTTAAGATTTGAATTTACCTTTCAATATCATGTTGATTGCAAACAGAGATGCATGCATCGGAAGAAATGCTTCTACATTCTTCTCTAGAGGCATTTGTAGTCTTAATCCACAAATTAGTAATCAGAATAATTTCCAAATATTACAAGTTGCCTTTTGACCTCTGGAAGGATCGGATATGTCCTGCTTTGAATTAATCGTAGTGCCATTCACGTTTTAGGAAGAGGATATTCTGGATCTTCTGGAGCAATGTGAAATAGATGATGAAAAACTAATGGGAAAATCCATGAGACAGCGAGGACCTAAGGTATTTGACTGTTTTAAATATGCCATTTTATGCCCCTCTGTAAGGAGGTACAGTCTGAATACCCACTCATCACTAAGTGGGGAGTTTAGCTAGCTGATCCTAGCCAAAGTTTTCTCCCTCAGACTTCCATTAGCCAGGTTTTTTGGAAATTTGAAAAGAAAGATAATTCAGGCCCACGGAATTATCTTTTGTCCGGCTAACTCCTATTGTAATTTCAACTGGATATGAGATTCTTTTTTTCCTCTCTAAGTTGTTTTGAAGTATTGTTGTGCATGGTAGCAACTGTTGTACAAGAGATTGCTTGATTTTAGTGTGTGAAATGATCCTTTATGACCATAGCCTATCTCAAAAGAATGCTTTGAGCTTTAATTGATTAGTGCCTTAAAGAATTTTGAGATCCTGCGATAAAAGGCACTATGGAAGCTCAAAGAATTAATTATGATTGTGATGTATCTGCAATTTGCTTAGTTGCTAGAAGGGTTGCATAATATATCTTGGAGCCTGTTTCATATCCAAAATCAGAATTTATGCAAATGTATATTATTTTTAGCTTAATAAATACCTTATTGTTATGCATGTAGTTCACACAGGTCTTTGCTTTAAACACACTGCATATCTCTACAAGCCAATAAGATAAATGATTTAGGTTTGGTAATACAGTAGTATGCGTCCTGCATCCAGCAAACTTTCTATGTCAAATCTGTTTGGCAACACCCACATTTAGGTACCTGAGGCCTGATGAATTTGTTTTTAATGGCATGGAAAAGTTTCAACAGCATTTTATGTTTCTGAGAACATGATATACAACCTGGGAACATGTGAATTTCCTCACAAATTGAATGCTGACATTGTCTTGAGCTTGCAGTGGTGCTCTATACATATGCAAGAATCTACAGAGCTGTATCTTTTTACAGATGTGTGTTCTGGAAAGAGATCTGTATGTCCTAACAGGTGTTAAGACAGATTTGCAGGAACATCATTACAAATGAAAGGATCTTGTGAGGCAGTGCTTTAACAGTGCTGGATTCATTTAAAGCAAAGAACCCATCCAACCTACCCTGGAAACACACACAACCCACATTCTTCAGGGATTCTTCTCCTTGAAGCTTTATTTTCAGTTATTTAAAATAAGATCACATAATTCAAGTTTAACTTCTCAGCTACGTTTTTCCTTTTTCCAGAAGCCTATCTTCTCCCAGTAGCCCTCAAAGAGCGTCATCTGGTTGACTGCATGAACTCAGACTTGATCTATATTAGCTCTTTACAGGTTGCAAACCATTTCTAAGCGGGAGGCCATAAACATTTAATAGAGTAGTGAGTGCAAATTGAGAAACTTCTCGTAACAAGTTTTTAGGTGAAGTTTGATCAATTTATGAGTGAGATCATATGACATGGTCTTCTCCTATAGCAAGCAAATGGATACTGTAGCTTATAAGTTGTTTTACTAGTACAGTATTGTTTGCATTTATGGGAGAAATAAAGAAAGAATTGCGTATGACCAAAATTCCCTCTTTTTACGATAAAGCTGATGAGGTTAGAAGAGAGGGTAATGAAACTAGCTTACCCAAGCAGATTGTTTCCCCACTTCTTTTCCTTGACACGTACAGACTCCATGCTGTACAGAATCTCTATTCCTGCATCCTTCTTAGGGTCCTGATATACTACTACTTCCTTTAAAACCATGCCTACAGTGACACCGTTGGACTGGAGACTTCCCTGGTTGCATAGTATCCTATGCACTCCCTTTGAAATAGAGGTGCTCATTGTGGGTGTTCTTTGTACCAAAAGAATATCACCTCTTTCCTATATGGGGTAAAGTGCTTGTGGGTAACGATATGCATTTGATGGGCCACCTCTTTGTAAAGGGTCTACTGTGAGATCTCCTATGTGAATCTGGTGAGTAAGGTAGGGTGGAACTTGCTTCTGCCTGTCAGTCTATCAGGTAGGAGAATAATCCAGTTGTAAAACCTATCTTGTGGTAATAAAAAAATCCTACAAATGAAAGATCTGTTAGGATATCCAACAAGTTAACATGTACAAGACAAAACGTGATAAACCTAATAGACAAAGCAAATCTGAAGCTGCAGGAACAGGACTTTCCACCTCATGTTTTGCTACATAAAACATTTTTTCAGAAGGTTGTCAAGTCCTGTCCTCTCTTAAGCTTTATTAGTTGATCTGCTGACAAAAGCTACTGCCTAGGGAGTTACTCTCAACCTTGGGTACGCTATCTTCCCTGGATAAAGGAACCTGGTGACAGTCAGCACTTGGAAAATGTTATGTAAAAGAGCTGGAGAGCAGAGAGAAACATTTTGCTTCTCCTCCTCCTCCTCCATATGTATACATATACATATATGTGTGTGTGTATTTGTAATAGACTTTCCATATAACAGCTGTACCGTATTTACTAGGCATTTCAGCCTCAACTTTTTTTTTAATGTAATTAGGATCTCAGGCTAGAAAGTGAGTTGAGAATTTCCCAGAATAAAGGCATTTTTACCTGCAATTAAAATATTACTGAATTCTGCTTAGCTTGAGAAATACATTCTGGAATTCCGTCTGTTGATTTGTGGCCTCTAGAGGGCCCCTCGTACTTAAACACTGCAAGGTTTACTCTCGTGTTTATTGCGTTGCACGTTGCACCCGTTTGTTGTGCAGAAAAAAGAATGACGGAAATAAAATAACGCAGGTATTTTAGAGGAAATGAGCAATTCCTTCTCTTTTTTTATTCTTCTGATCTAAAACAAGATGGATTTAATCAAAGAAAAACTAGGCTCACATAAGGGGAAAGTCCGGCTGATTAGAATTGCTAACCAGTTGAACTTCTCCTATTTTAAGAAGTCAGTTTAAAACCACATCAGACTATTATTTGTCATCACTGCTTTTTGTAATTTCTTTGACTTTTTGTTTTGATTCTTGTTGGTTAAATGGCATGAAGTCTTGGTCAGGATGTTCTTATTGTTTATGGTATAAAGTGTCAGGAACATAAATACAAGTAAGTGGTTATACAGGAGTGGGATCTACTTTAAAGCTTTTGTGAATTTTGATTGGAAATGGTTATTAATCTTTGTACAACTCATGAGGAATGTCTAATCAATATATTCCCATGTTACATGATGAGGACAGCTATTTTTGAGAAAGCAGCAAGTGCTGAGGCATCTTAATTTGTCCTTATGGCAGGGAGATAGACATAAAGATATTTCTTAAGTAATCTGAACGTTTGCCAGGGCTCTCCACAATGGAATACACTTCTTTAACTCTTTCTTACCTAGTTTAACAGATTGGGCCTACATAAACATGTTGTCACTGTCCTGTTAGTGTCAGAAATCTCTTTTCCTTCCTTGACTGGAATAGAAGTTTATGTAGATGATGATCAGTTATAAAGTGCATCTTACAGGAACAGTACCTATGGGGCTTTGTTCTGCTGCCCTTCATAATAAGTCTTGGTGCATTACATTATACTACAATAACAGGACAATTTAAATTCATCTTGGGAGTACTTCCATTCCACTCTGATCCAAAATATGTTAAGAAATTACAATATTAATTTTTGTAATTTGAATTTTAATTGCATCCATCAGAGGAATAGGAAGATGAGACTATCACCATAGCTTCTTATAGCGGAGAGTTACTGGAAAGGAAACATGTAGAAAAAAAAAAGAATGCACAGGACTTCTGAGGATAATAGACATAATAGAGGATGTTGTTAGCGCTTACATTTTTCTTGTGTGGCTGAGGGTTGATGGAAGAAGAGAAATTTTCTGTTGTACTTTCTGTTCTTGCATCAGTTTCTCCACCTCCTGCTTTTTGCTTTTTATCTCACAGTACCCTTGGTAATAGCACATGATTAGTTACCTAATGGCATTGAATCCCATATGCGTATGGAACACCAAAGATACCTAGGACAGCTTGCTATATTCTTCCAGTTTCAGCTTTCTACATGATGTGGATTAATTCCTTTCTCTTTCAGAAGTGTACCAGCCGAAGTTTCCTGATGTATTTATTTACTTCACACTAATCATCATTAAACTATAGCTTTATTTATTATAACTATCAATTAGGGATTGAAATTGATTGAAAATGGTATTCTATGTTACTTGATTTATGATTTCAAACCAGCATGCAGGATGCCAGGTAATGTAAGTCATACTTGAAATAAAATCACAATATTTTTCCTTCGTGATATAAAGGACTTTGCTGCCAATTAGTGTGAGAAAGATTAGGATTATTATGTCCTCAGTTTAATAAAATACTTAAGCATTTGTTGGAAAATTAAGCATAAACTTCCAGTTTAATTTGGGAGATCTTAAATATGTACCAATGAACCTCCCTAAATCAGGAACCTAGTATGATAATAAAATGTTCTTTTGGGATTATGAATGTTTTTTTTTCCCTGTCTTTAGCCCTTGTTTTCTATGCCAGAAAGTGCACAGACCTTAAGAAAACTCAGGAACTACAATAGTGACAGTAGCTGTGATAGCAGTAGCAATATGTCAGAATCGGAAGAAGAAACTGAAAAGGAAGATCACAATGAAAAAAAGGAGAAAAAAGTATCATATGACCTTGAAGAAAATAAATATAGAACTTTGGAACGATCAGGTAAGTTAAATTATTGTATTTTCAGTTAAGTCTGCCATGCACAATGAATTATATAAAATGCTTCAGTATTTCAGAATGTGGCTACTATCAGCATTTGTAACTCAAGGTTAAATACTGGTTTACTTGTTTCATCATCTTTAAAATCTTTTCTAAATTACTGGAAATGAATTTTAAAAAAGTGAAAAGTGAATTTTTTTTGCCAAAACAGCTAAAGAGAAAAATAGACGTGGGCTACACTGGGAAATATTGTGAATGTTCCTCTTTGCTCTTAGCTTTTTTGAGAAGGCTGTTCTTCTTTCCCTGGAAAAGGAATTCTTATTAAGTCTGAGTTTGCTGGAATATAGAAAGGATAAAGAAACGTATCAGGAGAATTGTAGAAGAGGATATATTTCAGATTAAATCCCTGCACAATTTTTTTTTATAATGGTTTTGTTGCTTGTTGTAGATCATTAGTGTGACCATGATCTGTTGAACATGGTTTATATAATATATTATTTTTTTGTTTTAGCAGTGTATTGTCTAGAAGAATTGCATCATATAACTACACACATGTAGTGCTTCTTCTAAAAATTTAGTTTTCTTGGCAGCGTCCTTTTTTTAGCAGGAGACTGAGTTAGAAAACTGTACAGTCTACATAGGAGCAGACAAGGGGACTGACCTGCAAATGGATCCGTCAACCAAATTTTCTTTCCTCGTTCCATATTCTTCCAGTTAAGAAGCCACATATAGCCGCCATGCACTGTCTTTTTGACCTATAAGCAGTATGTGCTCTGTCATAAATCTGATATATATATATATATAGATAGATAGATAGATAGATAGGTATCTGATATATTCTTCCTTTGAGGAAGAAATTGGTGTTCTTATAGGGTGTATAAAATATATATTATTAGGGGATCTGACCTAACTGACTACTACACATGTAGTTGTTACTCAAAATACGTTGTAGTACAACCTGTGTACACATATGTTAGTCATACTTGTTGTTAGTCACAAAGATTGAAAAACATGTTAAAAGAATAACAAGTGCTTGCATCATCCATTTAATTTATCTGCAGGTAGAATGAACTGGAAGCCTTCAATTAAAAATATGAAAGCTCCATCACATTCATCCTCCACATCATCCACAGGTCTAATAAGACGTTCTGTAAGTTGTCCTCGTTCAATATCAATATTGACGCAAACAGCTGAGCAACGTCCCCTTTCAGCCAAAGCATCTTTGCAAATCCAGCGTGCATCCTCTGTGAATAGGTCCCATTCTTTAAATCGCAGCCCATGTTCAGCCAGAGTCTCTCAGACGTCCAGCTTGGGAACTATGAACTCTTCAGCGGTGAGTTAACATAGCAGTTGCATTCAAAACGTGTTCCATTTCTTTAACACTAGAAACATACGTTACCAATTTTTACAGTGTCAGAAATCCTGTTGTACTATAGTCAATTCTATTTTGACAGATACTCAAGACTATAAGATCTCCAGACCTTTACACTACTTAACATTTACTGCTAGCTGTGATCTTTCAGTCTTTCTGGTGCAGCCATACAGATGCCACATTTTATGAAAATGGAAACCTTAGCCAGAGTTTTTGTGACTGGAAAACCTGATCTCCTAAATAGTTTCTTCAAGGTAGAGAGTGTTTTTACCCCTCTTAAAAAGTTTGTATGATTTATCTGGAGACACTTGGTTCTGAATTTAAGGATTTGCTTACCTTCAAAAAGTTTTGCACTAACAAAGATGCATCAATATTTCAAAATGGGTGTATACTCCTTGGGTAAATATGTTGTGCCAGAATAAAGCACTACCTGCCACTATTGAGATTTTGTCTAGGTCTTCATTGTAGAAAAAGGTATACTTGATTTTCAGGTTAGTGTACCTATTTCAAATAAACTCTATACCACTGCAGTAGGACTCTACTTCCAAATAGTTAAAAACAATTAAAAAAAAATATAGATAGTGCCTTGTCTTCTTTAGGATTTGCCACTGCAGTAAGTGTCTAAGGAGTCTTTTTTTTTTTTCAAGTGAAGTTAGAAACTTCTTCCATTTTGAAGCCTGTCCCTGGGGCAGACAAGCGTAAAGATTAAAGTAGCTAAAGAATGAATAGAATGAGTTGATCAGATTAAAGACTTAACTATTTGAAACTTGTGTTGTTAGTTATAATTCCCCAGCGTGTTTCTGATGTTTCTGAACCGCACAATTTTTCCTTTTGTGACCGGAGTGTCATCTTCTTTAGTATCTTCTTAACAACCAAACCATGTTTCCTCTAGTTGTGTGGCAGAGTGTGTGTCCACTTAGGCAGTGTTTGTTGAGTGCTAGTGGTAGTCTGTTTCAGCTCAAGGTTTTGTGGCTGATCTTTATATTACATCATGCAAATAATTCCTCTGGAGATGGTGGGGAGGGCAAAAGAAATGGCACTTTTAACCCACATTTGCACTCTTTCAATATTGTGATGAGGTTTGATTATGACAAATCCTTTTGTAATGCTAATTAACTTGCTTCGTAGTATTTACTAACTCTAATCATCATTTTATCCAGTAGAAAGCTCATTGTCTGTTTTGCCTGAGAGGCTTTGTCTAGATGATGAAAAAGGATGCTTTTAAAATTGTGTCAGCTTACATCCTAAGAAATACTCCTTAACATGGTTTTCCATCTTTAAAGTCAGCTAATGGGATTGGAAAGATAGTGTGCCTTCACCACAAAGTGTTAAAGGTATTTTTTATCACATTGGCTATCTCAAGATTAAAAAGTACCCTTTTATCATCAAAATGTACTCTGAGAGTTTAATGAGACAAGACTAATATAGATTTTTCTATTCACATTAGCTTTATATCAAATACAAATTACTGAAAGATTAAAACTACTCTCTTACAATATTACATTAAAAATGGGCTACTCACTTATATGAACATTAGTAAGAAACTATACTTACTTTTTCATTGAGAATGCTTCACCACAGAAGTGATCTTGATATGCAGAACAATTATGTTGGGTGAGAGTACTTAGGCCATGTTTCTTAAAATAACGTGAATAAAATTACGTGCAGAATAGATAAAAACTGCCCGTAATTTAGCACTGTATTGTGAATGGCACTCTATTCATAATTATTTTTGCAACTAAGAATAATATAATATATATTACTGTTAGAATAAAATTAAAATTGCTGAAGTAGAACTTTGGCTATACTCAGAAGAAATCATTTGCATAGGATAAAGTATTAGTTTATCAATCCTTTTGGCAAGGAGAAAGCAGTATGTTGCCATTTTTGAGGTTGGTAAAAGCCAAATGCACTAAAGGTATGGATAACAAAGTTTCAAAGAGCCATTTACACTTGGAAATTACAAACCACTATTACAGCAGTAATAGGCAGGAATGGATCTGGAAATATCTGCTACCTTATTATTTCAGCCACATTATTATATATTATATATCAAAATATTTTGTTATATTTGACAGTATTTGTCAGTATCTTAAGAGAAAAGTTTCCTTAAGTGAGTGTTGTAGTTTTTACAAAATACGAAGACGTAAAAATGCCTAATAATTCTGAAATAACCTTTCATTTAAAAAAACTCAGAAAACTCAGCCTACTGACCCTTGCAAACACAAAGACATGCAAAGACAAAAAGGATCAGAAATACTCTTAACTAGTGTCCAAGATCCAACAAAAAAAAAGCCTTCCAGAGACAGTCTTATCCAGACATTATAGAGGTTCAAGCAAGTTGCTGTTGATACGAAAAACACTGATACTTTAAACAAAATCCTTTACCATTAGAGACGACGGCAAGTTCTCTACTGACCTGAAAAGGAGGCACAGTGTTTCCCTGAAAAGCTTGGCACAGTGTCATATGTTTGGCAGTTTCCATTAACTTGTAACTTGAGTTTGTTGCAGTGCAGAACTGAGGTGAAGTTTACTATGACTACTACTCTCTGTTTTGTTCATTATATTAAATTCAAAATCTGTTATTTAAAATTCAACTTTATATTTTAAATGCCAGGCATCATAAATATCTTAATTCAATTTTGCTTATTTTGTTTCAGACAAACTTATTTTCAAACTCTGTTTTTCTTACATTTCTTGAAAATCATAAGTACTTCTTGATAGATTAATGTACATGAGGTTTAGGTGTGTGTCTTAAGTGTGTTTTAGATAATTATGTCTAAACCCATTAACAATATTTTACATCACCCTATTTAGAAAAAAATATTTTTATCAAGGAAGCATCTTTGTAATGGTGATCTAATAGCACACCTGAAATCTTACCTCTGCTTCACATTATTTTTAGACTGAGTCTTTGCTGCAACAGAAAACAAAAGGCAAAGAAGATGCTTTGACAAAAGAGGCTCTTCTCATTTTCAATGACATGAGAATGAAGTTCCCAGGAAAAACAGATGAAGAGGCAGAATTAATTATAGAAGATGTAAGTATCTATCAATAAGAAAGAAGAATGACATACAGGCTAGACAGTTATTATTCAGGCCACTACAATGTAGGAAAGATAGAAAGTTCAATTTATGATTTGTGAGTTCCTGTGGCCTTGTAACTTCCATAATTCAGGATAACACAAAAGATTGCAAAACCGTGGAGAGCTGCATACTTTCTGACCTTAAAAGAACAATAGTGAAAACGTTCTTATGTCTTCATAAAATATATGAGTAACAGTCAGAAAGATTAAGAAACTTCATTTTTTGTTGTAGAGAAAGTTCAAACTTCTAAGTAAGCTAAGAAGAATGTTACAAGTCATTAACAGTTTGTTTCATGTGATATTGTTAGTACAGATCTTGACGTGTTTAACTTGCTCTGAAGTAGGCATTCGGGAGAACTCGGAATGATGTGTAAGGCAAACTGGAAGTTTGTTAGTGTCAAAGAATACCACTCTCATTCTTTTTGTCTTCTTAGTTTGGCAGCTTACTTTTCCTCAGATCCAACATCACTTGATGTCAAAGAAATATGAAACTATGCTTAATGTAAAGAGGAATTAAAAAGCTATGCCTAATATTCAGTTATATAAACAGAAAATACGCAGTATCTAAATCCCTTTTAAATATCTAACTGTTTAGAAAGTAACATCGACTTGGAAAAGAAAAAAAAAATAAGTTTTTTTTCTCAGCCTGGTGGAACAAGCCATTTAAATGAACATGTGTGTTCTGATATAGTAAGCACAGCTCGCTGTGTGCTGAATAACTGTTTGGTGAGTGGAGACAAGTGCTTCATTCTCGTGGATGAATTCTGCATTCATTCGTGTTAGGACATTATCTATTCATTCTCTAGCTGAAGAGATGTTTCCAGTTGGAAACATCCGTTGTCTTGTGAGCTTTCAAAATTTTGGAAACGTGTTGATTATGTAATCTAGTAATCTGTGCTGTCTATGGAAAAGAGCTGCCTTGGATTGATGGTTAATTTCAGTGATTCTAGAAGACAGTATTCATAACTAGCTTACTTAGTTTCTCATCTTAGAAGTAGAATAAAATGCTTCATTAGATTTTTCTCCTTCAGAAATACATATGTGTACATAGGTATGTGTGTTTGTGCGTGTATGCCTATGTTCGTATGGATACATATATATGCATGCACACTCCATCTAGTGGTCATTTCTAATACAGTATTAGCATGATTATAAATACATTTCTGTATTACAGAACTCCAATTTCGGTTGGAAGATAATATTTCATTGTGGAAGGACATAATAAATGGTGTATTAGTTGTCAGTAAGGCAGAACTTTCAGTAGGTACTGATCTGGAATAGAAAAGAAAGAGTAACAGTGAAAATAAAAATTTATGTTCAGAGCTCAAGTTATTTTGGGAGCGTTTAGACATCATAGAAGGAGAATATCGTATGTCTAGTGTGTTTTATGAAGCAAAAAACTTATTATTTAAATAGATTAACAGTTACGCATTATTGAACTCTACTGCTCTGTTGAAGCAATCCCAGCTATGTCAGTCAAGACAAGTTTCTACCTGCTTTGTAGCGTGCAGTTGTCAGAATCAGGTGGAAAAGAGGGTAGGATTAGACTGAAAGACTGTGTACATCTTTGCAAATGCTCCCCCACATTAAATTGTCAAATATTTTTCTATTTCTTTTTGAGTTCTTTTCATAGAGGATCCGGTTTGCTCTTAGATGCTCGCAGTGTTTGACATTAGGGGTGCCTGTGAATGAAATAACAGATTTCTGGGGTTATTTAATGTATGTATTTTATCTTGTGTTTTGCAATTGCTACAGATTATGGATAATTGGAAACACCATAAAACAAAAGTAGCATCCTATTGGTTGGTAAAACTGGATTCTGTAAAGCAACGAAAAGTAAGTGACAGGTATTTCATTCTCTGAAGATAATCTTAAATAGACACACGGCATTGTGTTTAGTAGTTCCTAGCTAGGAGTGACTTGAGATACTAGAATATTGGCTGGTAATACTAACATACATATGAGTTAATTCCATTGAAGGGAATGATGATGCTTCATATTTAGAGAAGCGTAATTATCCTGTAATATAATTTCAAAAACAATTTCTTAAAAATTAGGTTGCCAGATGAAAACCAAATAGATAAATGATTAGTCCTCAGGTTTCTTATTTTTAGCAAACATTCTGAGAAGAGTATTGATTCCACAGATTGGACTGATAAGGGATGAACCAGTCAACAATTTCAGATTAGGCATATTAAAACTCCATTGTAGTTAGTGACATTGCGCTTGCTTATTTGACTCTTTGACCCACAGTATTGCAACAGATCTAGCTGAATATAAAATAAAGCTGCCAAGCAAAGTTTATTAACATTGTTTTACTGTTCAACTGAATGATTTGGTTTTACAAAGGACTAATTAGATTTGTTATCATGCTGTCCTCAGTTCATGTCCTATCTAGGAGCTACTGTTGTGCATAGCATCGAAAAAGTTTTTAATCTGTTTAAAAACTGACATACTGCAGTATGTCAGTCATCTGTATGTTATGTCATGTAATCAATATGTCATGTCAGTCAAAATCATCTTTCCAGTGTAACATTTATTTTCCTTAATGTGTCAAGTTTTATTTGTGATTTCTGTTAATACTTTGGTGGCCTGAAAGCAGTATTTTGGGTCTTTCTCTACCTCAGCCATTGACTCATCATGTGGATTAACATCTCTGTTTGGGGCACTTAATCTCTGTATGTCTCAGTTTCACAGTCTATTTTTATAGACAGTAAAAGAAAGCCACTTAATCAAAATGCTGCATACATGATAAATATTATAATTGGAAAAGGCTGGTAGATTGTTATAGAAGATTGCCCTTCCTTGGCTTCTGCTACTGGAGATTCATGCTTTTGGCTGTCTGGTTTAATTTTACCTATGTCTGTCCGTTTGTTTTGTTTTGTTTTTGTTTTTTTCTTTTCAATCTAGTCAGAATTTTCTCCTGTAAGCATTGTTTTAGAAAGCCTGCAATAAAGGATGTTTCTGTCCTTTCTTTAATTGACAGTCATGCAGAACCAAGGGCACATTCTCCAAGTCAGGATGGTACAGGTTGATATACCAAGTCATTGTTAATAAAAACTGTGTAAGTTTCTTTCTTCTTCTTGTGAGGACACCTTTTACGACTTAGCAGACTAAGACTTCCTGAAGCACTAGCGGGCCTTCATCTTTGGTTGCACTGGAAATGATTTGTCTTTTTTTTTTTTTTTTTGTTTTTCTCCTTACTGCTTTTAACCTGAATTCCTTCAAGCAATCAGATAGTTATTCTTAGAAAGGTAGTGTATACACATGGATTAACTTTGACAATGACATTGCAGCTAAGGACTGTCAAATGTGTGAGGTTTTGTGGATCTGAAAGAAGTACATTCTATATTTTAGTGGGGTGAGGTGGGGTAAAGCAGAAGACAGCTCAAGGTATTTTTGCAAGTGAAGAATCTATCCTAAAGGTACCATCTGCAACTTTGTGAAATATGAAGCAGAAACTCAGTCCTCTTCACTATACTTCAGAGTTCCTGGGAAGTTCTAAAATGTGAGAAGAAAATACCTGGGCAGTGTACTAGGCAGTGTACTAGACTGCACAGTGTTCACCCCTGGCAGATAAGTTTTCCTAAGAATTATTCAATGTGATGTAGAAAAATTAAACTCCTGCTCATATTCATAATGTCTACTACTACAGCATTGCAACAGAGGTGCAGGAGCCATTTAGGAACAAGTTAAGAATAAACCAGTAAAATCAATACATGATTAAATGAGATTTAGTCTCCCAGGACTTTCAGGGAAAAAAAGAGACTTTTGTATGAGAGGAGTGTGACTGCTCTGTTACCTCACTTTACATAATTTCTTTAAAATCTGTTTTGATGATTACCAGAAGGTCCATACATCTTGTTTTGAGTACATGCTTTATATAACATCTTGCTCTGTTACACCTAGATAATTGGTTATGTTAAAGAAAATGATGTAAATTAAAGTAAAGAGAAAGATGAAGGCAATCTAGGGAAATTAACTTCAAAAAAATGGAAGGAGGTTTCATGAAGTTCTGGGCCCTTGTGCAATGCCTTGTTTCTTCGCTTAAAGGGACGACTGATGTCATGTTTGCAAACTAAGATCAATTAACGGAGACCTTTTCTCCTCTGTCATATTGGTGATGTCAACACAATAAAACAGTAAGAAAGTTTTTCTCCCGAGTATCTGGCAACCTGCAGCTTACTCTAAGATGCAAGGTTCAGAACTTAGATTTCTTCAAATCTACATGCTAAAGGAAAAGGAAAGACTGCAAATTGGCATCATAGTTTTTAGTACATGCTTTTTGGATTAGTAAGAGAATCTATACATGATAAAATTATTCTATTTCACACATGTAGACAAATTACTACTAGTTAATGTAACAAATTTTAAAGAAATGTATGGTTGATCCGTTATGTAATGTTGGGTCTTAGTTGATTCAGAAGGATGCACACAATCGCTGCTGCTGCAGTGGCCACTTCTGCGGGAAAGCCTTAGGCAAGGTGCAGGGAAAAGGCTGCTTATGCAGGATCAAGGCACTAAGCTAATGCTGCCAAGGGAATGTCTGAAAATTTGAATTCATCCCACAAGTGTGGAGCAGCTCAAAACCTGGAATTAGCTCCTGAAGTCACTGAACAGGGCCACCATGGTTAGGTTATGATTTACTATGGTTTATATGTCACTGTTTGGGAGGAAGAGACCACAGGTATTGTTTTTAGTGTGCTATACACTTGCATTCACCAAGATTCCCAACAGAGGTCAGCATAATATTCACACGGGATAGTTGTGTGCGTGGAGTTAGCACAAGACCTATGCATGCAGCAATCCAAAGACTTCAAAAAAGAGCTTAAGTAACATGTAAATGACATTTCATCCAGGTGGTCGGTGTTACTCACCTATAAATTTTATGTCCACTAAGCATTTTTTTTACAAAGCTTCATTGTGCTATTTCAAGCATTTTATTTATTTTTGCTTTGTTTCATTCATTAGGTCTAATCAGACTATTATGAAGAACAGTTTGTTATGTAGGACCAAAAAAAAGTATTTCTACGCCATGTTTCCATATTTTAGTGTTACTTCTAAATCTCCTTGACCTTTTGAGAGCCAGATGTTTAGCCATATGAGTCAGTTTGTCATGCACATCTGAAAATTTCCTAGGAAAGTATTGCATCTTCTGAATCTTTGAATTTGCAACATCTTATACCAAATAAATGAATATGTTCATCAATTCACCACCCACTTGAGTCTAACAGCGTCTTTTGAAGATACCATTTTGCTAAAGAGGCAATAACGGTGTCTCCTTTAGACGAAATCGTGTTGATTAACTGACTTATTTGTTAAGAAGCTACATGAACCATAGGCTTATTTTGGGATGAAATTTAGGATGAAATTTATTCTGTTCAGAGTGCCAGTGAGAGGCCTAAATAATGCCTTAGAGAACTTACAGCTGCCATTGTATGCCAAATACAATGTCCGTTCTGTGTTTTGCAAATAGTGAGTTCAAATTTTGTTTGAAGACATTCACTGTTTCCCACAGCAATGGGAATTTAAGTATATGCTAAAAAAAGAAGTGTCCATGCTGATTAAAGAAACATTTGGGTTTGGGTTGCAAATGAAAGTTTCTTAAGGCCATATCTGAAAAGTTCAGTATCCTACACTACAAAATCTACGTTCATGAAATGGAAGGCATTCATGTAAGGATAGGTTTGGAGGATCAGGTCATAGGTAGAAAATAATTTTTTGCCCTAAACTCCTTCATAGAATAAAAACACAAATGTATAAATGACATCTTTTTGCATGCAAGGTATGTCATTTTCTCTGTAAGTATATGCAATGTATAAATAATGTGAAGGCTTTTGATTTAGAGTGTTTAAAATCAGGCAAGATGAATCCCACCTTCTACATCCCAATTCAGTGGCATTTGCAAAGGTATATCAAAGAGGAGCAATGTAAACATTGTTTCCTGATGAGCTGGATATGCTACTGCCTGTGAGTGTGTGTATGTGTGCATTGAATGGCTAAGGCTTCCGGGACAGAAACTCACTGTGCAGTACCGAATGCAACTTAGAATTGTCTTCTTTTCTTTGTCCACATCTTTACCCATTTGCATTTAAATGTAGTTTGTGTATAATAAATCCATTGCATTTGTATAAACGTTGCTATTCAAATATCTTGTGGGTTTTTTTTTTTTATTTCATTGTGCTTTTTCCTGCCTGAAAGATAAAGTAAAACAGTCTGATCTTGGGTAGTATTGAGCTCAACAGACATTAAACCGAAAGCAGCTTGTAGCTTTTCAGATGATTTTAGTTCTCTGTAAAATAGATGGTATTTTAAAAGGAGAGGGAAAAGAAGACATAATCTTCAAGTATATAATATTTGGGTTCTTAATTATGTTGCTTGTTTTCTGTAATTGTATCAATATTGTTTCTTTTTAAACTCTCCCTGTCATTTTAACTAGCTAGTACTGAACAGACTGAAAAAAAAAAGAAATGAACTCTTCTCTAATAAAATATTTTGATTTAGTTTTGCAAAACGTTATTGATAGAAAAAGCATATAATGAAAGTTTGCTGATGAATGCACGAAATGAAATGTAGACAGCTGTGGGAATTTATAACTACGCCGTCATCTGTGTGTATATTTGTATGTGTATATGTGCAGTGAATCATAGAACAGTTGGTTTTAGGTTTTGCCTTTGCTTTGATTTGCTTGGAATATTCTATTCTAGGTTTTAGATATAGTCAAGACAAGCGTTCATGCAGTTCTACAGCATGTCTGGAAGGCTCCAGACATTGAAAATTTACATTTGTACCGTCTTTTTAACCGCGTATTTAATCGCTTGCTTTGGAGCCATGGCCAAGGTCTGTGGAACTGTTTCTGTAATTCAGGGTAAGCCTATTACATTTATTATCTTAATCTGCCTTCTTAACTTCACAGTTACAGTCTGAGCTGGCATACTTTGCTTCTCTTTTTCATTTAAAATAATTTTGTAATGCATTGGACTAGTTTAAAAAAACCCTATAATTAGAAATCTAATAATCTAGGCCAACCGTTTCAGTAATGGAAATAAACATTTGGGAGTCTGTTTCCAAATCTAATAATCTAAGGAAACAATCTAATTTTCAAAGTAGCTGGGCTCTAGTTCACTTCCTTCAATTGGATGTTCTGCAGTTTTGAAGCCAGGCCACTGTAAATGTTTAACTTGGACTTAACCATCAACAAAAATCATTGCCATATCTGGTTGATCCCAAGCTCTACAAGGGAAGAATTCGGTGATAGGTCCAGCTGACGTCTCATGCCAAATGCAATGTCAGTTCTGTATTTTGCAAATAATGAGTTCAGATTTTTGTTCGAAGACATTCACTGTTTCCCACAGCAGTGAGAAGTTACATGCAAAAAAAGAAGTGTCCACACTGAAGTAAGAAAATGTTTTTGGTTTGGGTTGCAAATAAAAGTTTCTTATGGGGAAAAAAATCAGGCCATATCTGAAAAGTTCAGTATCCTACACTACAAAATCTACGTTCATGAAATGGAAGGCATTCATGTAAGGATAGGTTTGGAGGATCAGGTCATAGGTAGAAAATAATTTTTTGCCCTAAACTCCTTCATAGAATAAAAACACAAATGTATAAATGACATCTTTTTGCATGCAAGGTATGTCATTTTCTCTGTAAGCATGTGCAATGAATAAATAATAGTAAGATTTTTGATTAGCTTCCATAAGATGATTTAGGAGATTTATGAAAATAAACTACAACAAAAATATATGATATGATGATGGATATTGTATGAGCATGGAAATCAGCTCACTATGTTCCTCACCTGTAATCATTTGTCATATGCAGAGAATGCATGCAATGCATTTGTTAATTGTTTCCCAGCAAAATGGAATCACGTGATAACAATAAGAGACTCAGAGATCTGAGAGTATCCTATAACGCTGTCAGTTATTTTATTTTAGGATTTTCTTCTCATTGCTGAAGGTCTACTGTTGTTAACTATTGTTTTAACTCAAGCCATTAAGAATCTTCATGTTTTTTGCGTAGAGATGGACTCTGCACGTTCCCACTGAGGAGATCATGTCAGCCTTAAGATGTGCTAGAGGTAGCTATTGGAAGTGTAGCACAATTCCTAACTATACAAAAGTTAAAACTAGAGTGAGAAAAATGTCTCTGTGTTTCCAATCTGAAGCGTTTCCTTTGCATAATCCTCAACAGCTGCAGGGTCCTTTCTTCCTGCCAGCAGAGGTGTGTGAAGTCTTGAATCAAACTTCAGTTTTTTTGTCATAAAACGTTATAACTAGCTTCTCTTTTAATAACACTGTAATTGTTTTGAATCTTACTTTTAGTGTGCCCTTTTGCAAATCTTTCAATATGCCTGAAAATTTTTCCTTCAGATTTTTTTTTCCCCCTCTATAAAGGCTGTTAGTTGCTCCAAACCTCTGAACAATTCCGCTGTTCAGCTGGCTCAGGAGAACGGACTTTTAGCCGACAGAAGAGTTCAATGAAGAGCAGGATTTCCCATGTAGCAATAATTTCATTCATGCAGAACAAGACTCAGCTGACTCCGGAGTGGAGCTAAATTCTCTGACAAAGATCCAGTTTCTTCTCTAAGATGGGTTGCTATGAATCTAAAAAATACTGTGAAAAAAATATACAAATATGTAGAATATGTAGAGGCTGCTCTACATATAATATACCTAGTACAGAATCCACAGAAGCAAGAAGACAGAAAGGCTTTTTTTTTACCTGCCCTGGTGTTTTGTCTTTTCAGTTACAAACATCATTCTCACCACATAATCCACAACACAGAACTCAGGACAGCACCTCCTCAGCTGAAAGGCCAACCTCTCATCACTCTCCTTTAGCCTTAATTCTGCCATTTTAAAAACAGATTGGAATATAAAGTGAGCATATGTAGAATCTGGGAAACATGTTGAGAAGGGGTGTTGATGTGCTAATTAAGAAACAAGATGAATATATGAAAATATATTGTCCAAGTACTATACTCCTCAATAAGATGCCTATCCTGGGAGAAGGGCAGAGGTAATAGCTCTAAGCTTTCCTCTTGCCAGTTGGATCTCTGCTAGGCAGATGTTATTTTAGCAAAAAAAAACCCCAAAGAAATAAGCCAAAAACCGCAGTGAAATAATCTTGATGTATATACTTACATAAAGCTACATTTATTTTACTCTGTGGTAAACAGTTACAATTAATAATGGGAAATGAGTAGATCCAGTTGACTTCAAAAGGTTTTAAAAAAAGAATAATGCATAATTTACAGTATTACACATTCAGGCATGATACTCTCTTCTGAATCTTGTGAGGACTCAAAAGTTTCTAATTAATGTATGGAGCATACAGTTACAGCCTAACAAATTAAGTTTTCTTAGGTAACAGTACTCTGATCCCTGTTGAATGCAGTTTAAGAGTATGAATTGGATCTGTGTAGCACAGAGAAGAGATTGAATAGGCTCATTTATATAAAACTGCATTAAAATTCACATGTACATTTCGAAGTCTCATCTTTATTATTATGTTATTATTAATATATTCCAACAGAGTGATTGTATAGCACTGTGCTCATAATCGGCCATAATTATAGTAGGCTGCATATATTTCTTCACTGATAAAATCCCTCATAACTCTGGGAAGGTGATCACAGACCTTAAAGCCCAAAACTTAAGGAATTTATCAGGGGAGCTTCTATCAAGAGATACTGGAGATTTATAGGTTGAATTAGAATATAATTATGTGTAGCACTGTGAACCTGGTGAAGAAATGTAATACATAGAACTTTATCTTGCTACTTTCTTCTGGATATCACATCATAAAGGAAAAAATGAAGACAGGAGATTAATTTCGATATAAAATAAATTTGGAAGTTCCCATACAGGAAACAATATTGAGAAAAATATATTAAAGAAAACAGTAGTTCTTCAAGTAGTAGAATTATTCTACTATTAGATAAAACAGTTTTGATGCCTTACTGACCATATTTTTAAACAGTCCATTAAACGCGTAGTAAGTAATGAGAGAATGCTTCTATCACTTGAAAATTATTTGGGCAGTGGAAATTTGGTAGAACTGAACAGTTTCCGCAGGAACATGTTATCTAGACTGGGGAGCAGGCTGAAAAATCAGTTAGATATACATGTAGCTCATGTATGCATGAGCTTATTTTACTCATTAACATTTATAATTGTGTCCTAATGCAGCACAATTTTTTTAAATCTCACTTGGATGAAATAGACATACTGGTTCTTTGTTATGTAATAAAATTCTTTGACATAAGGATAAATCCTAACCCCAGTAATGTGAAATCTACTACTGATCTCAGTGGCACACGGCTAAATATCTTGAATGCTATGTTGACCCCGGGACAACGGGTACAACGAATTTTCCTCACTATGTGAAATGATTCTTTCATAAACAGAATAAAAACCTCAAGCTTACAAACCACCTGTGGTACTCAGCAGTGTTTTGACCCAAAAAAGGTTTTCATAGGGACCGTGTTACCTTTGAAACATATATAATGATCTGTAATCTCACCAGAATTTTGTGCCAAGCATATAACATATACACAAACGTTAAGGTCTAGGCAAAGGACTGTTGTCTTCTTCTGTAATAAAACATACTTGTTTTACATCGATGTGGTAGGATTTGGGTTTTTTTTTTTTTTTGAAAAAGAAATGGCTTTTTAAGAAAACAAAAGCAGTGTTCTGCTTTTCAAAAAGGAAAGCTTCTGTCGTGACACCTTGCAAGTTGTGCTTAATTGAAAAAGACCAGCCCTATTTCTTCATGCCAGATGACCAAGCCCATATGACCAGATGGAATAATAAGTAGTATTTTAATGACTAAAATGAGAAACTCTCTTCTTTTCACTATTTGATAGCTCATATGGAGAACAGAAATGTGAAATGTTTCTATTCATCTTTTGGCTGAATGCATGAAACTAAGCAGAACATTTTGAACATTTTTTAACATATGCTTTGCACGTATTAATCTCCTGTACATTCATTTTGTATCCTCTTATTATTATGATGGACTTACATTAAAATTAAAGTATTATTATGCTGTATAGACGTTTAGAAATCATTTATTACTTTTATTAATTTCTTTAGTGTCACACCATATTCGCATGCAGGTGGTAGCTTGTTAAAAATTATCAGTTTTCTGTTATTCCTGTTGCAAGGCACCAAAAACAATTTTCTGACAGTAAATCTTCATGAACTAAACCTAAACAATGGCCCTATAAATGCTTTAGGGGACACACCAAATGAAAACGTGGCTTGTGGACATTTTAAATATGAAGGTTAACTTCTTGATTTGTGTTTTGTATTCTCAGTATCTGCCAGTATGCGTGTTAAATAGCATAGGCCTTTCCTGTAAATAGGCAAGGTCATGCTTTTTCTCTTGTTCCTCCATTGTTAAATCTGATAAAAGCAGTAAAGCTCTTAGATTGCCATTTGTGACAGAAAACATGAAGTCATCTCTGTTTCCATGCCAACAGGAGCTCTTGGGAAACCATATTCAGTAAAAGCACAGAGGTGGTGACTCCCGAGCAGTTCCAGTGTTGCCAACGAATAGTACAGCTCTGTAAACACTGCCTGCTGGTGGTGTACAAATACTCATCAGACTCAAGAGGTTCCTTGACTGGAATTAGCCCCAATTGGGATGATACAAGGTATACATTTCAATATTCTCTGTTCTCTTCCTAAGTTATAATTACAAAGGATAATAATGGGACAGATTTCAGCCTCTACCTCTGCAACCCAGAGAAAAGCCATTGGAGTAGTTCACTGTGTGTTCCACACACCCACAAAAAGCCAGTTTTTTCCTCAGTTCTGACTTTTTGCTCTTCCACTCTCTCTTGCTCATTCATGAAGTAATACTAACAGGAGACTTGTTATACATATTTTCTGTAAAACTACACTTACTAAAGTCTTGCTTGTCTATTGCCCAAGTAGCCACAGCAAGAAGGGCGTTCTGTATTTAAGTGAACTGAAAATTTCCTTTCTTCCCCTTCTCAGATCCCTCAAAGTCACTGATTCCTGATTTGCATTCCTAGAGGTATCCTAACATGTATTATACTTCAAGCTTCACATTCACAAGTGGATCCTATAGGGGCACAGCTTCCAGCCAGGGGTCAGGTAAGTGCCATCTGATTTACTGTATTGAACAGTTTTGCAAAGTTGATTTCCAAAACCTGCAGATGTAAAAAGTTTTATTATTTCATCTCACAGAGCACAAATATATAAACCTTGCAAAACAGCATCATATAGTAAAAAAATTATTTGGCACTTACCTGATTCTCCATTGGCTGGTTTAGTTCTCCAACTGAAAGCACTAAGGATTATAATATTGTCAGTACGGGGATTACTGAAAATGTTCCAAGTGTGGGAGTCAGTGATCTGCAATTTAGCAGTCTTAGATGGAGAATTAAATGTAAGTTTCAAATTACTTAGATTCTGGATTCTATTCATAATGGTAATTTAGATGATTATATATATTAACTTACAAATATTGGTTAAAATAAAACATCTTACAAACATTTCATAGAAAGACTTTATGAGTTAAGAATATCATGTGAAAAGTAAACCTCTGATACAGTATCTCTTAAACTTATATGGCTTAATTGCTTGCTTACTATATCTTGGACTATTTATTTGATATACTGAACTCATTTGTTATTGTCATATGAATCTTAAGGGGCTCTAGCATAATTTAAAAACAGCTAGAAAAGGAATTTTTTTGGTCACAGTAAAAGTATAAGTGTCTTAGCCACAAAACAAATCATATTCAATATTAATATCTACTGAACTATAGCAAGAGTAAAGTCATTTGGATTAGTTAAGACTAGAAAATCTTCAAGCTTGAAGCTTTTATTGCTTCTACTGTTCATACTGCTGAAAATCTTTCATTGTAGGAAACTACAGATTATTCAAACTGATCAGATCACTCTAATGCCCTGCAGCTAACAGTCTTGCATTTGCAAAGTAGTGAAATGGACGATCCAATAGCACTTTTTCATCTCCCGTTTCTGTGTTTCTTTCAATGCTGAATGGAAGTTTATTCATAAATTTGAAAGGCTAGAAGGATCCTAGGTGTCCCTAGATATCTTTATGTCTTCAGCAATGGAATTGTCGTGACGACTACGGTTGATTAAAAGTTATAGTCTTCGTATTAATCTCCACAAATGTTACACCTGTCCTGTGGATACAGTAATATGTTAGTTAACCATGATATTCTGAATTTATGAAACTGAATATGTGTATGGAAATAAATGCTCTTGCCCATTATGCCCCACAATATGGAAGATAATGAACTGTTTTTCTAGAAATGGGAGAGTCACAGTACCATTTCACTTTTCATCAAGGTTTCCGTTTTTAAATTATCAAGGAAATTGTATGTAAGGATGTCAACTGCTAATAATAGTTTTCTTACATGAAAGTAAAATTGTGTGAAGTGCAAGAAGAGATCAGGGTATAATTTAACAAATGTACAAGATGTTCATTTTTCAAGATTTTAATACTCCAATTTGTAGAACTTCCATGTTTTTTTTAAGCAGAAAACTATTTTTAAGCTTTGTTTTTATGACTAAAGTTTTCAAAAATGGCAGAGACATTTTTAGTTGGGAAAATCTATTTGTACAGAGAGAGAAAGAGGAAGAGGTATCATTAATGAAAATAGTCACTAACTTCTTTCTTTGTCACTTTTCAAATTAGTTCCTAATCTCCGCTACTAACTGCAAGTCCAGTGGATGTGATGGAGGGAATGAATAGGAGTATTAATGTAAAGGATTAATTTTTTTCTCATAAAATTTAAAATGTAAAGAAAAAATGAGAGCTCAAAAACTTTACCAAAATCTCTTAAAAATAATAGCTAAAAAACAAACTATGTAAGATGACTCCTATTTGGATAAATTCGCCAGTATTACAAAATCTAAGAGACATGGATAATACCACCTACTGCTAGATCCTTACCGCTTGCTAAATAATCTTATATACTGTATAGCATACTCTCTGAGAAGCATTAGAACTTTTTAGTGTATTGTCAAGCAAATACAGAACTCAGTCTTGTGAGGTACTGAATTGTCAAGCCTCAGCTCACTGCCAACCCATACAAAATTAGACTTTTTTGGTAAATCGATTTAAAGAAAAAGAAAATTGAATTAATGACTACTATTTGATAATGAAAACTTTTCTCAAGGCTTAAAGAGACCAACTGTGTACACTTTCAATGTATGCATTGTTTCCTATTAACAGTTGTGACAGTGCTCCTATCCATGTGATTAGTAGGATTAATCTTTTAACTTATTCATGATTAATCAATATGATTCACTAGAATGATGTGACAATTTTTAAGCAATAATTTATACAATGTGTTGTGTTCCATTCCAACACCGCACATCATTCTTTATGAAATTCTAATTTAGTGTGGATGTTATTTTTGCACACTTACTGTGCTCATTTAATGACTTCTGTAATTAACTATTAGGAAATGATAATACGAAACAGAATTAGGAACGAATATTAAGCATATGATGAATTAATGTTTGCAGTGTTATATAAAATATAGGCTGTATTACTGTCTGATTTTAAAAAGTAAATAGTCACTGATATGACTTACTAGATTATAGCATCCTTGTTTCCTGTTTAACTAGAGTGGTGATGATGGCATGCCTGGTTTTAGGGAATCAGAGCTGGAAACTAAAGCTGAATTTTTTTTTCCCTACGTGACTTTTTTTGCAACTTAATTTTTTATAAGCTAGTTAACATCAATTGCAGTTTTTACACAGTTTAAAATGAACAAATATTACTGTAATATTACTATAATAGCATTTCACTCAGTGGGTAAAATCTAATTTTTGATAGCAGTGTTACACAAAATGCTCCTGTTTTATTTACCTGCTTGTTTTAAAAATAAAGGGCTGGCAAGATGTTTGATTGTCTTACAGCATCCTGTAACTTTGCTCAGACTATCTCTGAGCTTAGCATCTGTTTCCTAAGTTAGCTAATGCCTAATACCCTGTACATTATAGAAATTATATTTATTGTGCATAATTTCTTGCATACGACAACTGTAGGGTATGGCACATGAACAGCTAACTCTTTTGCTCTTGAATGTTACTTTGTCTGTAAATTCTGCTATATTTTTCATATCATTTCTAGGTATTTATTGCCAGGACCTTCACAGTTCCTCATGAAATCATCCTCGTCCAACCTTAGCTGCAGTTCATCTGGAATGCCTCGTCCTAACATTTTGTTTACACACAGATATAGTCACCTGTGAAACAGAAGGAGAATTACTGTTCCTTGTAAATAATGGCACTCCATTTTTTTCGAATTAAAAGTTGTGATGGAGCTGAACATAAGTATTGTTATATTTACCTTCATATTATGATAACGTTTAGCTGAAAAGCTACTGCAAAAGCATAGCCTTTCTGGAAACATAATAAACCTTATTTAAGTTGTTTACACACATATGTGAATGTGTAGATCTTGCTAGGTTTATAAGTAATTCCTTCCTACTAGAAATGTTATTTTTGCTGCAGAATATATAAAAATGGAATTGATCTTGAAGATCCTATTACAGTGTTACATTATTTTATAAGTACAGTACTTCAACTTAAATATTTATTGTAAAATATACTATTTATTGTCTCATATGTAATTGATCCTTTAACAAGATAGGTGATTAAAAAACTGTAGCAGACCGGCAGAACAGTAATAGTTACTGAATGTAATCTGATTATTTCTAGGACACAAAAAAACCCCCAAAACTCTACAAGCCAAATCTAAAGCAGGCATCATTTTATTTCTCCTCTGAAACTACAAGATCTATTTATTCATGTTATCCTTCTTTACGGACATGGTATAGTATATTTTAGTCAAAGTCAAGCCAATCTTATATGTAAATATTAAAAATATCAGTTTTAGCATCCAGTTTCTAATTGGATTTTTGTAATAAAACAGAAGCCAATGTTTGTTACCAGACTTTCATTCACATTACCTATGTCTTGTGCCTTTAAATTTCCTTTGGGAGCAAGCAGTCACCTGCAACTAATACAAGCATGCATAGTGCATAGTTTTTCTGTTTTACTGCACAAATGGTAAAGCAGAAATTTTAAGAATCACTGCAGCTATAATATATTATTGAACCTTAAACTAAATGGTTTGATGTAGTTTTTAGCATACAATCCAGTATGTGCTGTAGAACGTGTCTTTGAATGGACAGTATTTTCTAGCCTTGCTGACACCTCTAAATGTTGGAAATATAATTCATTAGAAAGCTCTCATTCAGATTCAGCTTTCTGGGCTTGGCTGAAGGGTGCAATAAGAAACTGACATAAATCAGAACCAGAGCAGGAACCGAGTATTAACAGGATTTGTAACTGCAAAACCTCCTTCAGGTATTGCTATGTACACCCGTTCATCCCATTCAGCATTGTGCCATATGGGCCTTACTCATTATATAAATAATTATTAAAAATTCAGTTAATTTAGATTTAAAATGAATGAGGTTTTCTAACTGAGTACAGAAGAGAGTAAGTAGTTATTTACCAAAGACCTGTTTACTTTTCAATAATGTAACCTTGAAATTTTGTTTGGAAGTTATCAATGTGTTTCAGGTAATTAAAAAAAAAATAATTTAGGGGTTAGTTGTCCTCAGGAGTGAGTATCCTGAAGGTTTTTGATATCCAGAGGTTTAAGACAAATTGAGACTGAAGCTGTCTGGAATTGAATTTTTTAAATCATAGTCATAGTACATCTCAAACTGGGAATTTTGGTGAGATTTTGATGCCTGTGCTGTAGTGCCCCAGCTCTGGATTGCAGGATACATCATAGCAAGACTATTTGTAAACAATTTAAAAAACTCTGAGGTTAACCAGGTATCAGCAATCTTCTGTTCCAGGTAAATCTTTTACATTTTCAACGTAATAGTAGTTTTGTAATACAGTATGTTCACATCAGTTCACTTTGTATGTCTCTTTTGGTCCATACACTGACTACTGATAAAGCATACTATGATTATCTGTAAGACCTAATAAAATCTAAAAATTCTCTCTTGAGAGTGGCTTCCATTGTATACTACTTTTGGCCGTAGGGAGAAAAACAGCTTCCAACTTAAGTCTGCCAAACTCAAATGGAACTTTATGATAGTATGTTCATATGCCTTTTTTTTTTTTCAACTATATTTGGATCAGTATTCTCAGAAGCCAGTGCTGGTAGAGATCAATCTGTATAGAATATTTTGCCAGCAGAAAGAGGGCTACTTAGTATAGCTATACGGTATGGACAGATCTAGGAAAAAATCATATACATTTAGCATGTACAAAAGTGCACCAGGGTGGTCTGAGTTTTCAAAAATTGGTTGGTTTATAATATTAATATGTTCATTCTGCTGATAGCCCTTCCTGGAGTGGTACTATGCTCCTAATAACATGTAAATCACAGTTTAAAGTAAATGTAATCCCACATGGTGCCCAGCTGGTCTGAATGCATGAGTAAGGTCTGCAGGGGAATGGCCGGGCACCCCGATCGGCTGGGTCCCTGTAGCACCACAGGTGCAAGCACTTACCCTTTGCCAAACAGCTGCATTTTAGACCTGTCCTTCAGAAATAACACAGATCAGCTGGGCCTACTAATTGAGCTTTTGAGCAGTAATTAGCTCTGACTGTGGGTCTCTTGCAAGCACTTCGGTGGCTTCAGCCTGATGGCCTGTTGATCCACAGAGCAGTTGTCTCTGTCTGCCCTCAGACCGTTTTGCTCAGCAAGCAGCTCATCCATCAGAGGTGGAGGTAAGGCCAACCTCATAAATGCCTTTTGGGATATGCCAGGGTCTCAACTGTATTTCTAAGTTATACTGGAATTGTAACAAGAAGGAAAAGAACACAGATAAAATTGTACTGAAGATTAGTCTTTATGCATTGACATCACTGAGGCATGCCTGGAAGAAGGTAAGCATATTTTAATGGTATATGATGATCTTAGTAAGTAAACCCCCCTCTAACGTGGAAGTAAGATGTGTGCTAACTCTGCTGTTGGAGTTGTGTGCCTTTAGTTTAGCCAGCGGTGCGCCCCATGGGGTGTCGTGGTGGCTGTGGGGGGGGGAGACTGCCCGCGAGGAGCAGCCACTGCGCAGTGCCGTAACTGCCGCAAGTGACGCATGTTTTCTCTCGGACCCCGTGGGGAGAGTCAGGGAGGGATTAGGCTCCCTCACTAAGTTTTATTAATAACTTAATCTCCAGAAACCTGCTGATATTTACACAAAAATATTACCTTTATCAGAGATTTTTCTTTTCCGTTACATTAATGTTTCATTATGGGAGCCGTCGTGCCTGGCCGGCTCGGTGATGCGTTGTCCGGAGCCACAAGCCTCATGGCTCAGCGGTGGTGCTGTCTTCTCGCTGCCCGTGAGCAGGCGGGCTGCGCTGCTGTGCAGCACCAGGGGACGTAAGAGCTGATGCTGGGGCAGGGAGAGCATACGTGGCTAGGGGAGAGCCCTGGGGGCGCAGGG